TGGCTAGCCAGAGAGGAGTCTTGGTAGTTCATTTTGTTATTATTTCTGTTGTCCGGGTTATTTCAGGGTTGTAATCCGGATATTGACTTGTGACTCAAACCCTTCTATCCTTTTATTTTGCCTAGTTCCTTTAGTCGTAGCAACTCATTTAGTGTTATCTCGGTTTGTTCTAGGGTTGTACCCTAGTTTATTTTGCTTGTTTTGTTGTTCGAACCGTTTCACTATCTGTCTAATGAGATTTTCTATTTTCTGTTATTTCTAGTCATTTTTGTTTAGTTCTCTTCTCCTTTTATAGTTCTTTTCATGCTGGTTCTAGTAACATGACATGCACGCATAATTCTAGGTCTGGTCTTAAAAGTTAGCCTAATCATGAAGCAATGAAACAATTTTGAAGATGATAGGGACATTTGAGGGAAGTAAGTAAAGAGATTTTGAGATAATTTGAATCCCGAACCATGTGAAACTGGGGTAGATAATTTGTGAAGTTAATAGGGTGAAAAGAATTCGTTAAATGAGAGTGCATCCCGGCCGATTTGAAGCAAGCAACTTTAAGTTCAAGTGCATCTTAACCTTGACAAGGTGCTAAAGAAAAGTGGAAGGCATATCAGTGATATCAATGCCGAAGCCGTAAAAGAAATATTGTGTATGATCTTCACTTTTTATTTCAAGTTGCATATATTGTACTTGGCATTTTCAAGGATTGGGAGGCCCTCTTTCAGCTACCCAAACACTTATACCATTTGATACCCTTTTGAGCTTGTACTGATTTTTTTGACCTCCCCTCTTTTGGAATCAAGTTAGAGTCATACGGAAAAAAAAGTTTTGTCCCCATATGTTTATTTTAGAAAGTTCATTCCAAAAGGAAAATTCAAAAAAAGAAGGAAAAAGAAAATATAGCAACAACAAAACGTATCTTTGTGAACTACGTTTGACCTGATTCTTGTCACCACAAGATACGTAGGTAGCCTCACGGTTTGTTCATACCAAATAAAATATTTCATAATCCCACGAAGTCGAGAGTGGAGCAGTCTTTCTTAGAAATTCCATCTCAAAAAGAAAAAAAGAGTCAAATTCCCTTATTTCAGAATTGGGGCAAAGTTTTTAAAATGGATTCCAAAAGTCGTAAATAAATTAACCCTGTTATCTTAGTTGTTTTTAGCCTTTGTGATGTCCTTCCTTTCTAACCCTGTCCAAAAGCCACATTACAGTCCAAATAGACCTCACAGATAATCTTTGAGAGTGCCGAGCTAGACATGCCAGGAACACATGATGTTTTTACTATGGGTAATGCCTTGTCATATGCGGAATCGGAGGAAATAAAAAGAAAAGAACAAAATAAGAGAGTCTTATTGGTGAAAACCTGCACAGGCACCATAAGATGACGATGAGTTGAGATAAAGAACAAAATGAGAGAGGCTTGATGGTGAAAATCCTTCGGGCACTACAAGTTGAATAAGGATCGTGAATCAGATTAGATAATCGGAGCATTGAAACCCAGTTTCACGGTTTAGGGGGTATAGCAAGAGTTGAACATTAGACTTGCTTGACAGATTAGGCCATAGGTGCATGTCATGGTCATTAGAGTTGGTATACACATTTGACAAGTTTCTACTTTGTAGTTTTCTTGTTAGGAATCATCTCTTTCCATTGTCCTTTACTTTGTTCCTTTTGTCTTGTTTACTTCTCCTTCCTGAGTCTGTTTGGTCAAAATAAGTGAGAAATGACTTCAAAATATGCTACCAGCTTTCCAATTGCACAAAGCGGAGTCTGGCTAGTACATCAAAGTAGTATAAGTCAAGAGAGAGCAATATGCACACTGAGTTAGTAACAATCAACGTGCTTTGGGGTTCATGTGAAATACAAAGGTCGATATATGTCAATTCATGAACAATGCAACAGATAGAGGAAAGTGGGTGAACGAGTCAAAGGTATTTTCTGTGATAAAGTTGACAGAGAAAGTGGTTGATCAATGACAAGCAAGGTCTTCCAAGTGGAAATCAAAGTTATCATGGCAAGTGAAGGAGCGATAGAACTCAAGGCCAAGACTAGTGGTTTAAGTCAGGAAAGAACAACATGTGCACTAAGTGGGTGGCAATTGACGTACTTTGGGATTCATGTGAAATACAAAGGTTCGGTATATGTCAATTCATGAGCAATGCAACAGATAGATGGTGTTGGGTTTGAACGGATCAAAGGTATTTCCCGTGATAAGGGTGACAGAGAAAGTGGTCAGTCAATAAACAGGCCAGGTCTTTTGAGTTGAAATCGAAGTTATCATGGGAAGTGAAGGAGCAATCACCCTCAAAGTCAAGGCCACAAACCAACCACCATATTTATAAACTCAAGTTTTCTTTGTTTGAAGCAGGGACAAAAATTGTGTCCAAATCAAAGCTGGGAAGTTTGAATGTTTTCAAGTGTCGTGCCCAAATTTTGTCAGTACAAAGGCGGTTTGAGAAAGGGAAAAAAAATTTTGTTCAATATGCAGGAACCCTCCATGAGGAAAAGCATGGTTCAGAGGCAAGGAATTTTATTCGTTCTGCAGAAATCCTCCTGGAAGAAAGCATGGCTCAAGTAAGTTCATTCTCGGCTTTTCAGGACCCTCTTGGATAATGGAATTTAATTTAGAATTTTCAGGACCCTCATGGATAATGAGATTTAATTTAAAGTTCTCAAGACCCTCCTGGATAATAGGCTTTAGTTAAATTTTAAGACCTTCATAGTTAACAAGATTTACTATAAGTTCTACCTTTAGGAAACATAGTTTAGCTTTAAAGTTTTCACTCTTAAGATGAGATTTAATTTGAAATTTTCAGGACCCTCCTAGACAATTGGATTTAACTTTTGAGTTCTTATAGATCTTTTGATAACCAGATTCGATTAATACTCACAGATGTTCCCATTATCAAACTGGGGAAGAAAAATTTCTTTTGTTTTGTCTATTTTGTTGTAATCAGGCGCCCACCTGGAGAACAAGGAAAGACAACACGAGCTTCAAGAATATAAAGCAGTTCAGGTTCAAGCAATCAGACACCCACCTGGAAAATAAGGGAAGACAATTCAAAAGAAAAGCATTTTTAAGAAGTGGACAATTCGGGTTCAAGAAATCAGGCACCCACTTGGAAAACAAGGGAAGATAGTTCAAAGGAAGCAGTTCAAGTGTTGGAAATCAAGAACCCACCTGGAGAACAAAAGGAAAGCAGTTCAAGTGTTGGAAATCAAGAGCCCACCTGGAGAACAAAGGGAAAGCAATTCAAGTGTTGGAAATCAGGAGCCCACCTGGAGAACAAACGGAAAGCAATTCAAGTGTTGGTACTCAGGCGCCCACCTGGAGAACAAAGGGAAGCAGTTCAAGTTTCAAGGAGAAACAGTTCAAGTGATGGAAATCAGGAGCCCACCTGGAGAACAAAGGGAAACAGTTCAAGTCTCAAGGAAAATAATGCAAATATTGGTAATCAGGAGCCCACCTGGAGAACAAAAGGAGGCAGCAATGTTCAAAGGAAGACGGTTTAAGTTCAGCAATCAAGAGCCCACCTGGAGAACAAAGGGAAAATGAGTCCAGGGAAAAGCAGTACAAGTGTTGGAAATCAGGAGCCCACCTGGAGAACAAAGGGAACGAATAAATGTTCAAAGGAAGACGGTTCAAGTTCAGCAATCAGGAGCCCACCTGGAGAACAAAGGAAAAATGAGTCAAGGGAAAAGCAATACAAGTGTTGGAAATCAGGAGCCCTCCTAGAGAACAAAGGAAAAACAGAAATATTCAAAGGAATACAATTCTAATATTGGCAATCAAGCACCTACCTGGAGAATAAGATAATTCACTTTAGAATGCAATACAAGTCAGCAACAAAAGACGCTCACGGCAGGAATGTGAGCTAATAGTCCGAGATGATCAACGAAAGTTAGTCACAATCCAGAAAAAAAGGCAAGAAGTGAATCCAGATGCTGAAGTTGATGAAAATGTGAGCTGCTCAAGATATGATTGAAGTCACAAACATGGTATGTCTGGTCTTGATCCGAAAAGCTAAAGAAGAATGAACTAGCACCTGCAACTAGCAAGCGTCAAGGTACAAATCCAAAGTCTGCATGAAGAACCATTCAAGACTCAAAATCAAGCTTCAGAAGACTTATAGATAGGAATCTTGTAACTCATAGTTGACAGGCTTGGTTAGTCTTTTTCACTTTTTTGATTTTGATGTAATAACAGGACCACGGACCGGAACCTCGACGTCACCTCAATCGTCTCTCCATCTCTGTATACTCCATCATCTCACTCACTTATGAACTACGCGTGGCTTGATTCCTTTATAACCAAGGATGTGTAAGCAGATCAGATACCAGGACTCGGTCACTTTCCCCTTTCTCTTAGTTTTGGTCTCCTTAAATAAGGGTCGGGTCAAAAACCTGTCTAGTCGTTCTTTGTCTGAAAATACTTCATGTTTCCAGTCAAAGAGGGGCAGCTGTAGACATGTGATTTTTGACCCTCCCCAAGATTTTTCGTATTTTAGCACGTAAATATTTATTTAGGCCTAATATCTCTATTTCAACTAATTTTTGACTCTTTCACTTTATTTTATTACAAGAAAATAAAAATTACAAAAAAATAGTTTCATTAATATTTTGTAGTCATTTTTAATCTTGAAAAATACCAAAAATAATTTTGTTTTAACGATAAGTCTTATTTTAATAGTTATTTTACTTAAGTAGGATTAATTAATAAATGAGATCACATTTTAGTCTCGTTCGTGGGGAAAGAATAAAACTTAGGCTCGAGCAACCCATTTTAGGCCTAATTTTTGGACATAGACCATAATTACCAAGCTCATAATTCCTAGGCCCACACCCCCTAACCTAAAAAAATCCTATAAAAACAATAGGAGACTTTACAGATAATGAATCCGTCGTTTGTCTGCTAAAAAAATCAAAGAAAGGCCAAAAAATACACAAAAAAATGACATAACTCTAAAACACTGAGATCCGCCGCACAAACTAACCCCCCNNNNAGCGTAACTTTTTCATCTTCTTCAACATTAGCAAATCAGATCCCCCACCCGTTCTCTTCTTCTTCAACAATAGCCAACCCTCAGTCGCCGACACACACGCACAGTCGCCGATGGACAGAGAATCGGCGAACACCATAGCCATCGCTGCCTCTGCTTCTTCCCATTAACAACGAACCAGCAACCCCTAAACTTGGAGCAACAACCAGGTTGATCCCCGCCAGCTTTTCTCCAACTCACCGGAAACCAGCTGAAGTAGAGTGAAAGATCAACGACCATCTATTTCGTTCATATTTTTTAAAAAAAAATGATGTTTCTGTCTTGAATTGGTTTGGATTTACAAAAGTAGTTTCAATCTCATCTTTCAATTCTGATTTTTAAAAATGGGAGTTTATTTGAGGTTCAAGTTTGATTTTCGGTCTTGATTTGAGATCACCGTCCGAGGTTCAATCCGGGCTCCGAGGTCGTGGTTCCTGTTTCTCTTTGGTAGCTGACTTCATCGAAGTTTTTTTTGGCGTTCATTGTACTATTTTGGACAGAATCATATTGAAGAAGCTTTCTTTATCGAGGTCCGTTTCTATCTCTCTTCTCTAATCTCGTTTGGCTATGAAATAAATTGATGAAGCGCCATTTAAGATCTTGGGGAATTAGATAGTTGATTATGTTTAAATATCAAATTTAAGCAACCAAGGTGCTTATTGTTAGCTTACTCTGATTCTAATTTGGTTGATAAAGCTGTTGAATTGTATTACTTTGTGTTCGACACTTACGATTTGGTTCCACATGTAATTACTGTTAATTCTTTACTTTATGATCTTGTGAAAGATGGTAAGATTAAATCAGCTAGGCGACTATATGATGAAGTCGTTGAGAGAAGTGGTGGTTGTGTTGAGAATAAATTTTTGGATAGTTTTAGCACTTGTATTATTGTAACAGGGTTGAGTAAAAAAGGGAAGGTTGAGGAAGGGAAAAAATTGATTGAGGATAAGTTGATGTGTGCCATCCATAATTAAATCGCTCATGGTCCTCGTGTTAATTTCATAACCTAGATATAAAATCATGAATTTCGTAGTTTGCTTTAGGCGCGTTAGTTAAACAATTATCATGGTTACGGGTACGGCTCCCGTGATGTAGTTGTAATTTGCAATTACTAAAACCCGGGGGTACATTTCATGTGGCCCGGTTCTAATTTCCAACAAGGTTAAATAGAATGTGTCGCAAACCACGGGTGCATTTCATGTAGCGTGGCTTGCGTTATGTTTTAAATGACCTTGAATTAATTTTTTAAATAAGTAAAAGCGGTTTTCAAAAGTTAAAAATGCACATAGGCTTAAAAGTGTTTTAAAAACAAATAAATCGGCCAATAGTAATAGTTGAGCGACCGTGCTAAAACCACAGAACTCGGAAATGTCTAACACCTTCTCCCAGGTTAACAAAATTCCTAACCCGGATTTCTATGTTCGCGGACTATAAAACAGAGTCAATCTTTTCTCGATTCGGGATTCTAAATCGGTGACTTGGGACACCATAAATTATCCCAAGTGGCGACTCTGATTTTTAAATAATAATCCCGTTTCGATTGTCACTTAAATTGGAAAAATTCCCTTATATCCCTCCGGGGGTGGTAAAAAGGAGGTGTGACAGAACCAATGTGGTATCCTAATCCAGTCCTCTTGGGTTGTAAGAGTGTTGTCTTTTAGAGTTCTGTGTAAATTGAATTGAGTAAAGCCTTTGTGGTTTTCAACGATCACCACCAACGTTGATAAGATTGGTTTTCACTCGCTCACCAACAACGAACAAGAGTTGGTTTTCACTCGCTCACCAACAACGACTCTTTGGTTTTCACTCGCTTACCAAAGAAACAAACAATGACACAACATCTCGGTCACACCGCCTCTCCAATATTTTTCTATCTCTCTTCTCTCTTTTATGTATACAGTAAATCTAAAAGTGAACTATAATGCTAGTTAAGAGTAGAATAAAGAACTTGCAGTTGGATAGATAATTGTATAGAAAGTTGCGTGCTTTTCTTTATGTGCAGAGCTCCTCTTTATAGCCTTTTCAACTTGTTCCGGCTACTGCATAACCCAAGAGAATTTCTTTTGTACTGTTGCATGATTGTCTTGAATCTTTGCATGTCTTCTTTTAGAATCCTTGATTGTTGCTGACATGTCTCCTAAAAATGGACTTGAATATTTTCCAATGTAGTAATACTATATCACTACATTTTGTGTCAAAATATGCTTTCCTTTTGGAATGTGCCGTTTACATTTCAAACTCCAATGCCCATAAAGTTTTTTATATGAACTTGGACATTTCCATGTGTACCGGAAGAATTGACTTTCTTTCAATGTAAGCTTGATTCTCTTTCTTTGCCTCCTCGTACTTCTTTCCTTTTCTGATAGATATCAATATATCTTTGACTCCTTTCTTGATCTTGATAAATAATCTCTTTTCATAATATAGATTATACTATACTCATAATATATTTTCTTTCCATAAAAATATTTTCTTCCTTGCCTTGTAATATCTCTTCCATATAGTATCCTCCTTCCACAAAATAATATATCTTCTCTATGATTTTAGCAACTTTTTTTTCAAGATATTGAAAAGCTTTCCATCCATAATTTCCATAGATTCTTCTTCTGATATTGTAGTAAGTCATTCAATATTTGAAATTTCACTTTCAAATATTATTCCTGCTATGATGCTTGAAGATTAAATCTCTGAAAATAATCTTCCTTGATAAATTCTTCACATGATATTCTCTTTCCCATATTTGTTTGGATTTTTACCAGCATTTTCTTTTTTGTACAAAAATAAGATTACCACAAGTAAATATTCTTTAATTAATAATTATTTTAGTTTGTTATCATCAAAATTAATACGTGAAACCTTGAAGCTAACAAAGTATTCATAGTACTGTAGATATTGTACAAGTCATCCTACAAAGCAATTAGGATATAGCCTTTGCAAAGAAAATCTACCTGTTTTCATGCCTCAACAATCACAGATTTCTCGTTGTCCGGCGTGTCTGTGACAGGCACTGGAGGTTCTTCACTGGTGAATTTCTGCATACCAAGTGTGGTAAGCCAGAAGAACACCTTTTGCTTCCATCCTTTGAAGTTGGCTCCAGAAAATTTCCCTGATTTCTCGGCCGGTAGAACAACAATTCGGCTTGATGAGGCTATCATCATTGTCGCAACAGTCGCAGAAGGATTTCCATTATCAATTGTCATTTCTCACTGTGAACAACAGAAGAGTTCAATTAATGGCAAAAAATAGAACAGTTAACAATATTGTAATTAACGATAAGTAGTACGTTTAATAAATAAAAATCAAAGTTTTTACATATACTGTTTCACAAAAAATGATGAAGTTTTTATGTTCTTTAAATCGTTTCTATATTTCAATACTCCGATGAAGTTTTTATATCTTTAAATCAGAATAGAAAAATTCTCCACAAACAGAATACAGACTACGAATAAGCAATTTCCTTAAGATTGTTATGCAACCTATATTACTGTAATAAATAATGAAAAACAGTAAACTTTCTAAAACAAAAACAGAAATAGAAAGTTTGTAGCAACAAAATGTCGAAATAATAACTGAAAATAATTTCGGAATAAACCGAGCCCACTGAATGCACAGTGTGTCCTTAAGGAAAATATTTCCCTCAAGTATCCGAGGTGCTGGAATATTATCCTCCCATGATAGAACGATTTAACTCATCAGAGTGTTGGTACCAAAAATGCCGGTGAAACAGCGAGCCACTCGAAGGTTGTAAAACACACTAGAAAATTTTATGCAGAAGAAGAAGAAGAAGAAAAAGATCAGAAAATTTCGTAAGGAAAGATTTTGGGATTCAAAGCATATTTATAGACTTTCTGGCACTATTTCCGAAAAGGTTTGCAACCTTTTAGAAACAGCCATGGCTGATGGAACAAGTGGGAATATTTCTGTTTAAAATATTGGGGAAAACGGATTTAAAATAATCCGGGAAAGAAAACGGACCGGACCGGGTCACGTCGCGGGTCCTAGGTTATTCCGCGTTGAATTTTAGTTAATTAATTAAATAATTGAAAGGCATTTTTTCCAAAAAGATTAATCAATCAATTCGAAGCCGAAGTCGAGCGACGATAACGGCGCGAGACTTGCCTTCCTCTTATCTCTTTAAGAGCTAGAAGAAAAGCAATTGTATATATACCCATCAAAAGTCTTTTCTACCTCCAATATGGAACAATGTCCCTTTGCCAAGGAGGGAAACTCATATATTTCATTTTTCCTTTATTTCTCATTCACCCTCTTTAAGCTAAACCAAGCTTAAAAAACCCAACAAATATAATTTAGGGTGAGAAAAGATCTTTTCCATCTCAACACATCCCTTAATGGAATTTCTTCTTTATGGTATCACTCTCATAATTATTCATTCCCCTAATGATTCAGAGAGGAAAGAAAGGGCCCCATCTTTCTGTCAATACAAACAATAAATCATTGTTCAATATATAACAGGACCAGAACTCTAGACTTATCTTACCCAGAAAGCACATACATAATTAAGTATATACTTGTTAATTTGCGAGTCTTAACTGGTTCCTACAAGACCAGAAAAAGAAATATTACTAAACTTGAAAGATGATTTTAGAGCGTCTTACTTTGTTCAGCTGTTTTGGAAAGGAAAGTGGAATACACAATAAGCTGGTATGACAATCGAGAAATCTCTTCACATTAAACCTTTGTTTATTAAGTATTTTGATTTGGCCATTAGTATTTGACACTGACCTGTTTGCTCATTAATATTATTTAAGTATTGAATTACTTGTGAAATATTGAAATAGTTATTCGATGAGTATATATTTCAAGTGAAATAATGGTTTCTACTAGCAACAAATTTTAATCTTTTCTCCGGGTAAAGTTCATATATAAATCCGATTAACTTCCGCCTTTTTTTGTTAACTTCAAGTTCTTCAAATACCTTATTCTCGATTTCAATCGAATATTATCCAAACACCTTTGTTAAGAAGATCAAAATTGACATGTGGAACAACAAGAAGTGTATGTTTTTCATACATGCGTGTTATTATCATAATAAGTAGGAGTATAACAAATTGAATACTTCACACTCGATAACTTAAAATTTTAAATATTTATTTTATGAATGAATTTTTTTCTTTATTTTTGTTTGGTGGTGGTCTTTTGCACTAAGCTAAAAGCTTTTTTTTTTTTTTGGAAATATGGATAGATTCATTCATAAAAGGTTAGGGGGACATTACATCGCTGTTAGTAATAGCAGGGATAATACTAAGGTTCCCAAGTACTGCTAATATATTACATATAGAGCTTGATACTAGTCTAGTAGTTAAAACTTTATTTTTGTCATCTTGGATTGCCTTCTTTGTTGCGTCCGGAGGTGAGTGCAAAATAGTAGTTGTAGAGCTTAGGTGATGCTTGGAACCCCATTTACACAACAAATGTGCTACCTTGCTGCCTTGGCGAAAACTATGCCGGATCAATGAATTCCCCAGTTTCTTCAACAAGTACCTGCATTCTAAGATAGTGTTAGTATAGGCGGGAATATATTGTGTTGAAGCAGTTTAATTATATCCGTTGAATCAGTATCAATATCCAGTGGTGCTAGTCGTTTTTCATATGCCAAATTCAAACCTGCCTGGAGTGCTTGCAATTCTGCATCTGTGGAGTTATGAGCGTTGATCCTGTTGAAGAAGCCTATAATCCATCTCCACCACTGTTTCTAATTACTGTTGATACCCAATTTTTCCCTAGGTATTTTTGTACCCAAAATACTTCCAAAATAGCATGTATGTGCATATATAAGCACACCTAAGAGTTTTAGTTTTTTTTAATGATTTTTAAACCGATTTACTACCCATTTTAATACAACAAAATCCAATAGTTATTCTCAAAATTATCATTTTTTGGTGAATAACTTATTTCATTCCCGTATTTACACCAAAATATAATTAAGGTGATTTTTGCATATTTTTTACAAATTTATTTGGCATTTTTAAGCTAATTGCATATAATTGCAATTATAGCCTATTTTACAATTAACAACATTTTATAATTATAAGATTACTTTTAGTATTTTTACATTAATATTTATATGTTATTAATTATTTTAGTGCCTTTAATTTATTTTTAAATCATCTTTTTGCTATTTTATAAAATAATAAAAGGGGAGATTGGCTATTTAACAAATATCCCTTATTATTTCAATTCTAGCCAAATTGCCCACACCCACTATCAGAATCAAATGGCCCAATATCCTGATTAAATTAACCCAGCACAATCACCAATATAACCCGGTCCAATCTGAGCCATTGATCAAATAAGATCAACGACCCAGATTAAATTCCCTTAATTAAATTCAATTACCCCCCCAAAACACTCATTTCC